GATGTGGCTGTTGGTGGTGGCTGTGGTGCTTTTGATGACGCTGAGACTGAGGCAGATGATGAGAGAGGAGAGAGGATGCTAATGAGAGGCGGAAAAGGAGGAACAAACTTTATAATACTACTAATACAGCTGGTACTTTTTCAACAAGCGCCATCCTATTAAGCATGCGAGCCAGACGAAAAACACGATTCTAAATAGGACGAATATTGCGAAGCGTTATACTCATACAAAGAAGAAGAACAGCCATGCACATTCGAAAACTACGACGACGATTACTAGTACGAACGCGAATAATGCTACTAATGGTAAAACTAAAGAATCTTAGTATCCATACCACGAAAACGTCTACGAATCAACTTACTAATACTATTGATACTGGTAGTAAGGCTGGCAATATCACCACTACTACGACTACTGCTGCTGCTGCTACTACTACTACTACTACTACTACTACTACTACCACTACTAGTACTACTGCAATTCAGACTTAGAGCAATGGTAATCGTAATGCGAGTGCGAATACTCAGCCTACTAATATTATGTTTAAAGAAGGCGGATCTGATGAATACTGATAGTACGAATGCTAATAGGAATATTCAGAAGACGAACGATCAGACTTAAACAAACAATGCTATGACAAAAAAGGAACGTACGCATACTAATAGTTAGCCTGGCGAAGGACCTGGTCATGTGCAGTTGTGAGTGCCGCAGTTGTGAGGATGGTCGTCTGTGGAGCTCCCTGTGGCGCCACCCAGCGTGTCAGGGGCGTGCAGGTTTGGGGAGGTGGGGGGGGGTGCATGTGAAACCTCCCACTGGGACGTTCGGTAGAGATCCCTGCGGGGCCACAAAACGTGTGAGGGGTGTGCCAAAACGGGCGTGACGCCGACATGCGAACTGCGCCAGTGGGACCATCGGTAGAGTTCCTTACGGGGCCACGAAACGTGTGAGGGGTGCGCCGAAACGGGCGTGCCGCCCACATGCGATTGGCGCCATTGGGACCTTCGGAGGAGCTCCCTATGGGGCCACGAAGCGTGTGAGGGGTGTGCCGAAACGGGCGCGACGCCCGCATGCGAACTGCACCGTTGGGCTTTTCGGTGAAGCTCCCTACGGGGCCACGAAACGTGTGAGGGGTGTGCCGACACGGGCGTGACGCCCGCATGCGAATTGCGACACTGGGACCTTCGGTGGAGCTCCCTGCGGGGCCACGAAACGTGTAAATGTTGTGCCGAAACGGGCGTGGCGCCCACATGCGAATTGCGCCACTGGGACCTTCGGTGGGGTTCATTATGGGACCACGAAACGTGTGAGAGGTGTGCCGGAACGGGCGTGATGCCCGCATGCGAATTGCAGCGTTAGGACTTTCGGTGGGGCTCCCTATAGGGCCACGAAGCGTGTGAGGGGTGTGCCGAATTGGGCGAGGAACCCCCATGCAAACTGCACCATTGAGACCTTCGTCGGAGTTTCCTACGGGGCCACGAAACGTGTGAGGGGTGTGCCGAAACGGGCGTGGAACCCACATGCGAACTGCAGCAATGGGACCTTCGGTGGAACTCCCCATGAGGCCACGAAACGTGTAGGGGGTGTGCCGAAACAGTGACGGTGCAAGGATGGGATGTGGAGAGAAGGGGAGAGGAGGAGAGGGAGAGGACGCGGGGCGCTGTTTCTTCAAAGCGAGGACCCGACACCACAGGATGGTTGGGAATAGTTGCGCCACGATTAATAATACTGCTGGGACGAGTAGTAAGACACATTATATCAACCATAATAGTACGATTAAGAATACTAAGAGTACGACGGAGAAAGTACTAGCACGATGAATAGTAACGAAGACGAGAACTTATACCATGTTAATAATAAGTAGAGGAGGAGAAGGAGGCAAAGGAGGAGGCGGAGGAGGAGGAGGAGCAGGAGGAGGCGGAGGAGGAGGAGGACGATGAGGAGGATGAGAAGGGGGAGGAGGAGGAGGAAGAGGCCGAGGACGAGGACGAGGACACGGCCGAGGACGAGGAGGAAAAGGAGGAGGCGGAGGAGAAGGAGGAGGGGTCCAAGGCTGGGGCCGAGGCCGAGGCGGGGGCCGAGGCGGAGGAGGGAGAAACTGGACCCGTGCGCTTCTCGGCGGCACCCCAGCGGGAAGTGCGCCCTCTGGCGCGGCACCGTGAGGACCAGCTCGACAAAAAACGGTTGGAGGAGGATCGCGCCTCGAGGATCGAGGATCGAGGATGGAGGAGGACCTGCGCAGGCCTCCAGGGAGGGAGTCGCCCCTGCCCTCCTCGTCCTCCTCGGGCTCGTCCGCCCCTGGCCCGGCACGGCATGCCGGCGTGCTCCGAGTCAGGGGCAGGTGCCCTCCCTGTGATTTTTCCGTGGGTGGTCGGTAGACCTCGCGCGTCATGCGCATGACACCCGCGTCGGTGGAGAGCCCCTCCTTTCTGTTGCGATCCACGGCGGCCTCGGAATTTGCAGACTGCGCCGGGGAGGCTACCAGCACAGTGTCAGCTGATGCGAGGGAGGACAGCAGCTCAGGCAATCCAAGCAGGTTCTGTCCACCTCGGAGGGGGAGACCATGAGGAAGCGCAGGAGTACGTTTCATCCTCCACTCGCCATCAAAACGGATACGGCTGCTGCCCCTCATCTTAAGAGAGGTGATCCTATTTTGACCCTCCTCCACGCCTTCCGATTCTCAAGTTGTCTGGGTAGGGGGGGCAGGCCCTCTTGAAGCGTCATTGCGCTCAGGTAGGACACAGACACCTAGGACGCGACGAACATGTGATGACGGTCGGCCCCGAAATCGTCCAACCTGAGCCCTCTGATAGTTGTGTGTGTGAAGTGATTTCGAGATGCGTCTCATTCTAGTGATTTTGATACGTAAACACGTATCAAAATCACTGGTTTCCAGGCGTGTCTCGAAACCCGTTATTTGAAATCACAGGTTTCGAGACGCGTCTCAACATAGTTTGCCGCCGAGCCCTTGCCTGCCTGATGCCAAAGACGTCTCATGCTTCCTGCCGTCGAATTGTCTGTTGCCGGAGTTCGACAACGACTGGATTTCGAAGCCAGCCCGACCGAGGAGCGCGTGGCTTTGTGAGGTACTTTGCCTTTAGCAGCCCATGTGCCGGGCTGGGCGTCCTCTTCACCACCTGAAGAGGAGGCGTCTCAGATTCGACGTTCCAGAGTATGCTGAATACTGCGGGGGCCTTGTAATCAGGGCCTGTCCTCGCCATCGATCCCACAGATGCAGGGCTGCGAGTTGGGGTTCTCCCCGAGCAGAGCATGCCTCCCTGCAGCCAAACCCTTCAATGGTTTCAAAGGACCCGCCCGCTCCTAGACCTGGAAGCCTGCTTACGGGAGGTTCGTGTCGTGTCGACGGTACTGCGACGCCAGCGTGGGCATTAAAGGTGGCACGCCGCTGATGGCCCCGAATCGACCAACATGGAAGGATCTGGCAATCGAAAAGCAGCCGATCGTTGAAGGTTGAACGACCTACGCGGTTTCAGAAACCAAAGCATGGGTCGTCTCAGCACGAGCCTGCCGTAGTGATCCTCCCCGTCCGTCCGTGGGAGCTTTGCCGGGCCACCGTGGAGCAGCAGTTCCTGCCGCCGACCCACCATGGCGAGCTTGCCGAGGGTGCCCCGCGCTGCGTCGCTGCCGCCACCGCCTCGTCCTTCGCCTCCGAGCCCTCGGCGCCCCCCGTCGCCACGGCCGGGCGCGGCTCGGAAGACAGGCCAGGGTCGGATGGGTGGATGTGCGGCGCACCACCACCTGCCAGCGGGCCACCTCCAGCGAGGTCCCCGACGCCTCCCTGGGCCCGAGATCGAAGATGCCTTCGGCGGGACGCCGCAAAACAGGGGGGCCACTGACACACGCCACCACCAAGAGGACCGTGCCTAGCTGTTGCGCCCGGGGATGGCGGTGTCGTCCCCCGTTGCCTCATCTCGGGGCGCAGGTAATTCGGATCAACCCTGACGGGGGCCAGCCAATCCCCTCCCTCCCTCTGATCCCCTCTGGCTGACCTGGCTTTGGGAGCCACGTGAGGGAGGACCCCTCCTCCCCTGCCCCCGCTGATCCGGGCGTCCGGGCTGATTCGTGGAAGGCCCGGGCTCCGACACGGCCCTGGCTGAGCTGTGCCGGTCGGCGCTGACCCATCCTGCGATCCGACGTCGCGGAAAAAGTGTGACATCGTGAGAAATCACGACCAGAGCCTCAGACCCAACCTTTCACCGGCAATTCGCGGGCCAGGTCGACACGGCCGATCGAGGGCCCCAGACGCCGAAGGGGTGAAGAAATTGCGACGCGTGGGTCTGACGGCATGTCATCTCTCGGCGACGCGTCATAGTGGGATCCCCTCCGCCGTTGCCTGCGCGCTTGGGTTTAGCTCCCCCGCGGCCCCCTGATGCCGCGCACCCAAGGTCACTCTTGTCTAGGGTCACTCGTGTGTTCAACCGAATCGCTTCCCGACAAGCCCATGTCGGAGACCTCCAGAGAAGACGACTCAGAGAACGTGAAGGTGGCGGCGAAGAAAGGGGGGATGACGAGGGGCGTGTGGATCCCATTGCCAGGGCCGTGAAATCTGACCAGTCTCATGGCCACATTTTCTCATTTCGTGAGTTTGCCAGCCGCCTGCCGACATGTTCGCCCGACGGGGTTTCTGTTCCAGGTGGGGCCGGAATGGACGGAGTCTGCGGGGAGGCCTGTCCGGTGGATGGGCGAAACGCGCATCGGCGTGGGTGTGTATCACAGTAGGGGGCTTTCGTGCCATGGCCGGGGTGCGCTCGCGTCGGTGAGTGGAGCCCGGCCCCCTGGGAGCGGGCGCCGAGCCTGCGCGAAGGAAACCAAAGCAACAAGACGTCTCCTTTCAACATGTTCTCTGGCATCATCCTATCCCGGTGCTGATCGTAAGGATTCCCTCAGTTTCTGGAAGGCGCATTCCCAGGGATAAGCTTTATGGCCCCCTCTTGCTGGCTCCTATCCCTGGCACACCTCCCGGTCAGCGGCGCCCGGCGCAGGCGCTGTACTCCACGCCCGAGAGCTGCCTGGCGCAGTCGGAGGCGGCCCCTCGTGCCGCCCCGGGGCTGCTTCCTTCGACTCGACGACGCCGTTGGCCAGACTAGCGCGATGCACGCCGCCGCGTCGCCTCGGAGCCCAGCTCCCCGACGTCCTTGCTCGGCTTCGGCATTCTGGGGCCGTGTGGCGAAACATTGGCTCTGGGGAAGGGGTCGGGACCTCTCTGGCCGCGTATTCAAAAAATCATATCAGAGGATGTCTGGGGAGCGTTCTGGCAGATCTAGGGCTCATGTGGGCCGCTCCCAGGCCGCGGGGCCGTCAACAACACGGCTCAGGACGAAGAGTTGGTTCCTGGGGGAAGGCCCCAGTCAGATGTTCGTTTCGGGGACGTTTCTGTGGCCCACCTCATGGATATGTTCGATTCTAGTTCGACTCTGGTTTCGACTCTAGCTCGACTCAAGCTCGACTCAAGCTGCCGGACGTTCGACGCAGTACCAACGCACGAGTGGATCGAGTGACTCCGTGAAGGTCCCCAGAACGAGCATCTAACCCCAGGTTCCATGGCCCTTTCTTTTCGGGCCCGTTCCCCTTTCCGAGCGTCCTGGAGCACTCCCAGAGCGTTCCAGAACGCTCTGAAACAGCCGCGGCACCCGATACATCACCCTAAACCGCCAGATCTCAGAGATCCCGGATTTACCCGATCCGATTCTGTCCTGATTTTGGCTTTGTCTTGCCCTTGCCAACCACCAGCGCTCGCGGAGGCGCGCATTCAGCTGGTCCGACGCGGCGCTGGCGTCGTCCGAGTCTCTCTCCTCCTCTTCCGCTCCCGTGGCCGTCCGTGGAGGGGAAATTCGCAGGCGATTGCCCGCCCCCAATCCCAGGTTTACCCTCAGCAGAAACCAGGCTGCTCGGGAAAGAGGGGACACTCAGGGGTACACCTCCAGGGGACTGTTCGGACGCACAACTGTCGAGGATGGACGCCCCCCCACTGTACATCCCCGACTTGGGCACCATCTTCTTGGCCCATCAAAACGTATCAAGCGAAAGCGTCACGAGTATATGCTTTCGCAGGCCCGCGTTGATATCTCGGATCTGCGCTGGACACCCCTTGGCGCGCGGATCGCGCGAGGGGGCGGCGTCGAAGGCGCCGCGAGGGGGGCCAAGCGCCGACACAAGATGCTCGCGCGGACCTCGGGGAGTTTCTGCCTGTGCTTCTTTTGTTGGCTTCGTCTGAGAGGGGGCCCCGCCGTGCACTCCGTCGCCGCGCGTGCCCCCTCTCGCCCTCGAGCTGGCTCTGTGGCTCCGTGGGGCTAGCGCCGACCAAACAGACCTGCGCGGACGGACCTCCAGAAGTCTACCAGTCAACCCGCACAGTCAGGATGAGCAACTTTCCAAGGGTACTCTGGCATCCTTCCCCTTCGGCCCGTCCCTGGCCGCTTTCGCTGGCTGCGCCCCGCGGGCAGAGTGTCGACATGGCCTTCCGAGGCCCTTGCATCCTTATCGTGTGTCCTTCTTGTGCGGGTTGACTGTACCCTCGGAAGGAGATGCTCGTGCCCATCTTCTCCCGTCTTCCACGCGAGGGCCCCGGCCTCCGCAGCCGGCGGGCGTCGGGCCCCCGCTCTTCCAGGCTCCAGCAGCGCTGGCCCGGCGCAGGCCTCGAACGGCGCAGCCGAGTCGCCGAGGTAATCGGCAGGGCCCTCCTTGGGCCCGGGAGGGGCTCTGCCTTCAGGGGCAGCGTTTGGGCTCAGGGTGGGCTCGGGGGGGGACGCGTCGGCCCCCAATCGCCGGTGGGTCGCCGATGGAGGCCCGATATAGCCCACTCCGCCCAGGAGCGTGCGGTTTCGGTATCGAGGGCCTATCGCCGATCCATCGGTGATGTGCTGGCCGATTCCAGGTCGAAGGCCCCCCCTTTGAGCCGGCCTCCCCCTGATGTTTCCCTTAATGGTTGTGGGTCCGTTCCCTGGGCCACCAGATGAGGGACGGAAGAAAACGGGGTCGACTGCACGGACATTCGCGCGTACTCTTCTCGCGTAAGGTTACGCATTAGCGCCCTCCTCTTCACGCGGTGTGCCACGCTGGCGGCCCGCGTAAGTCGCCGCGCCAGGTCGCTTTGCCGTTCGTCGCTCTCATCTCCGACGATATGACTTCCTCGATTCGGCCCGCCGCCGCGGTGTCTCCGCGGCGAAGCCCACGGCGCACCCGCGTCCCGCGCTCTCCCAGGATGTCGCGGGGGTTGGCCTGGTGGCCCTCGGCGGGCGGCCTCGGCTGCCGCGCAGCCGCGCCCGCTCCCCTCGGGGCGCCCCCCCTCCGGTTCGCTTCCCCCTCGGGCTGCGGCGGGCTCGCGCGGGCTTCGCAGCCCTTCGGGGACTCGGGGAGGAGTTCTCGCACACTTCGGCCACGGCGATGGCGATGAGCGTGGTGCCTCCGAGGGGCGGCGCTCGGCGGCGCACCCGCCCGCCTGCGCCCTCCCTTGGAGATGCTGCGGAGGTCGGTCTCGTGGTCCTCGGCGGTCTGCGGAGGGCCGCCGCGGCTGCCGCGCGGCCGCGCCCGCTCTCCACGGCGGCCTCGCCGCCCTGCCCGGCCTCGTGACGTTGTCGATGGTTCCCAGCGGAGGGCCAGGCTATGACCCGAAAGCCACAGGGCAACGTCGGGCGGGGTAGGCTCAGGGCGGGATGCATCGCCCCAATCGGCCACTGATCGCCGACAGGGGGTCGATAACCCCGACCATGCGGTTTCGCAATCTAGGGCCCGTCGCCGACCCATCGGCGACGTGTCGCCGTTTCTAGCTCGACGGTCCCCCCCCTGACGTCCCCCCCCTGCTGTTGCGCCTCACCTCGGGGCGCTCCCCGATTCGCCCCCGGCGTGTTTTCCCCTCTGGCTACTGCGGGCTCGCGCCGGCTCCGCAGCCCTTCGAAGACTCCGACGTCGCCACGAGGCTAACGGGTCCTGAGGGCGACGGGTCTTGAGGTTTCTGCCGTTTTTGGGGATGAAGAACTGGTCACGGGAAAGGGTGCGGGGTCCAGGACCCGTTGCCCTGAGGACCCGCTTTTTTCATGCCAGAGCATGAGATTTCGGAGATTTCGGCCACGGCGATGGCGATGAGTGGCGACTCGAGAGAGATTTTTCAGGGAGGCGCTCTGGAGGCCCCGAGGAGATTCAGCGGGGAGAGGTGGGGAAGGGGGAGGGGGAGGAGGGAGGAGGAGGAGGAGGAGGAGGAGGAGGAGGAGGAGGAGGAGGAGGAGGAGGAGGAGGAGGAGGAGGAGGAGGAGGAGGAGGAGGAGGAGGAGGAGGAGGAGGAGGAGGAGGAGGAGGATGTATGGTCAGATCCACAGGGCCCTGGCCTGAGCTGCGCCCGTGTCTGGGGGACATACGGCAGTGTCCTGCAGGCCCCCAGCAACTTCAGTTTCTCTGATGTGGTTGGGCTGCGGCGGTGGTCCCTGTTGCCCTGGCGTCTTGGGGCTGCGGTTCTGGTCCACGGGGTCCCGCCCATGTGGTCATGGCATCGGTCGCCCTGATCGCGACTTTCCACTGTTTTGGGGGCTCGCGCCGACGCGTGCGTCTTTTTCGTCGGGCGACGAGATCTATACATATCCACCGCCCCTGGCCAGGCCCAACCTGGAACCAAGGTTCAGGACTGATGCCTGTCTAGCCACGCCAGGGTGGCGTATACACCGCTCCTGTGCCCAGGATGGACCCAGGGCAGTGTAGAATGTCTAGACTTCGACCTCGTCGCCCTATCTTGGGTGACGCGATCCCAGACGCGATGTTTTTTTTGGGAGGGGGTGAATTCCCAAGAATCCCGACCCTCTCCCCAGGGCTTGTTTTTCATCCCAACCTATATTTTACGGTTTCGAGGCCCGTCAAGGGCCCCCAGAGGACGAACATGGGCAAAAACCGTCCGTGTTTTTTTGTCCAGACGCGAGGGGGTCTGGGCCTGTCAAGGGTGATGTCGGGACGCCAGCTGGGTCGGAGGGGGCCGCGACCGCCAGCCGGCGAAGCTGCCCGCCATGCAGTTCGACCCCTCCTTCTGGAGCAAGGCGTGCCCCGCGCCCGCTTCCGCTGGCCGCGGCGGGAGGCCACCTCCGGGGCAACTCTAGGGGGGGATAGGCTCGGGGGGAGGTTCGAGGTTTGAGGGGTTGGAGCGTTTTTGTTGACTCTTGTCGGTGGTTTTCCAGCGTCGGGATGCCTTCCAGCGGCAGCGCCTCGCTGGGCACGTTCAAGGGGTACCTAGATCGTCTCGAACGGTCGCTGGAGAGTAGAGGGATGACTCGAAAAACCGTGGGGCAACGTTGTGGGGGATAATTCGGCTCAGGGGGGGATGCATCGATGCTGGAATCGCCCACTGGTCGCCGATAGGGGCTCGATAGCCTCACCCGACCCAAGAGCGAGCGATTTCGCTGTTGGGGGCCTATCGCCGACCCATCGGCGGTGCGTGGCCGATTCCAGCTCGATGTTTCCCTGCCTGAGCCAGTCCCCCCAAACGTTGCCCCTCACTCCGCCACCCAGGCCGCCTCACCCTCCCATTCCTTTTGTCTAGGCGGCCCTGTAAAGCCTGCCGAAATCTGTTGTCCGGGAGGCTCGAAGAGCAAACATATGCATAACCATACATTGTCGGAGCTCCACGCGGATTTCTCGGATCTGCGCTTGGCCCCCCTTCTTGGCGCGCGGAGCGCGCCAGGGGCGGCGCCAGAGGCGCCAATAGGGGGCCCAGCGCCGATCCCAGAAAGCCGCGCGCAACTCCGGACGTATCTACTGGCCCTGGTCAAGCCCATCCTGGATCCATGAGCGGTGTAAATGTATCCCTGGCCAAGTCAGCAGGGCGTATACACCGCACCTGGTCCCAGGATGGGTCTGGCCAGCGGCAGGGGGGTTCTAAGAGGGTAGGTAATTTCCAAGGTTAGCTAGTAAACAAACACAGCTGGGGGGTTCGAAGAGGGTAGGTAATTTCCAATGTCAGCTAGGGAAAAAGCACAGCTGGATACTCACGTTTCCCTACTCAGGGGGCTATTTTGCGCGGTTTCCCTCTAGCCCCATCTTTGTCCCTGCCCCTCTTTTACGTCCTCCCCCGACTTGTAACCAAAGAGGAACAGTTGGGGTGAGCATAACCTGTGGGAGGTCCGCGCGGATTTCTTCTTTCCTGTGCTGGACTCTCCTGGCGGCCGCGCGTCAGGGGGGGGATTCAGCGCCGATCCGAGAAATCCGCGCGGACCTTTGAAAGTGTTGTTTTTGCAGCTTCATCTGTACCGCCTTGTGAGGTCTGTGGAAGTCTGTGATGCGAAAGACGTGAGACCACGTTGATCGGTGGTTCGAACAGTCGGGCCCTAATGGGAAGGGGTCCTCAGGACAGGGGAGGGACTGCTGGTTTGGCCTGCACTGTTCAAGGCCTCCTCGCCCCAGGCTCAGGGGCGCCGACAGAGGGACTGGACCCGGGGGGGGGGAAGCACCGACCCCCAGTCGCCCACTCCTCGCCGAACGGGGCCTCGGAGCTCCCACCTGCCCGAGAGCCCGGGGGCTCGCCCTGGGGCCCTCGGGCCCCCGTTGTCCCCGGTCACTTGCGGGGGGGCGAAGATAACCGCGCTTCGCGCGTCGCATCCTGGGCCAGAGGGCTGCCCTCCTCCAGGGCGGCCCCGCGATGGCGCGGAGACAAACGTGCGTCGCGCCTCGCGGGGCGCGATGCGCGAGGTTGGTGACGCAGATGTCTTTGGACCCCCCTGGCGGTGCCTCCCGCGCCGCCCCCGGCGTGCTCCGCGCGCCAGGGAGGGCGGGGGATCAGCGCAGATCCCAGATCCAACAAATCAGCGCGGAGCTCCGAACGTTTACGTTTATGCAATTGTTGTTATTCTAATGCTGTGCCCGTGTCGTGTCACTCCCCGTCAAGTATTTCAGGTTGCTGCAATAGGATCGACGTACATGGGGTCGGTGGATCGCGCCGCATCGCCGATGCATCGCCCATATATCGGTGGCGTCGACGATGTTTCCTATATCTCTCGTTGGACAGTGCCATCTGTAAGAAAACCGGAGGGGCGTGGAGTCGTCTTCAGGTGCAAAGGAGGCCTGGTGGTTTAGCCTCAGTCGTTTTCGCCTCCCCGCGATTTTAAGATGTTTGCGCGAAACGTTCCTCCTGTTCCTCCTGCGCGAAACTTTCCTCCTACTCTTCCTCCTCCTCCTCCTCCTCCTCCTCCTCCTCCTCCTCCTCCTCCTCCTCCCCCTCCTCCCCCCTTCCAAGGGAAGCCATAACTTTTGGAAAACCCTGGGAACAACCAAACAAACCAGAGAAATTGAAGTGCTGGAGGCTGAAACTTTGGAAAACACATGGGAACAAAAAGCAACAACAACCCCAAACACCTAAAGATCCCAGGGAACATCCGTCCGAAGGGACCACCTCCTCCTCCTCCTCCTCCTCCTCCTCCTTCTCCTCCTCCTCCTCCTCCTCCTCCTCCTCCTCCTCCTCCTCCTCCCCCCCTTCCAGCGGAACGCCAGAACTGTCGGAAAACCCTGAGGAACAACAAACCAGACAAAGAAACTGAAGTGCTGGAGGCTGAAACTTTGGAATCACCCAAACACCAAAATTAGTTCTAAAACAAAGAATCAACACCACCACAACAAACACCTGCAAACAAAACATCCAAAACAAACAAAGTTTCCAAGCACTGCCGCCCGCCCATGTAACCTCCCCTTTGGGACGGACGGAATTTCAACGATTGTGTTTTATTCCTTACCTAGGCTCTGCCTAGAAGGGTTCTTACCCTCTGTCTTAAAGGGGCTGGGCAGTGTAACACGCCCCGGGCGGTTCCCCCAGGATCCGCCCCGCGGTTCCCCGGCTTCCTGGGAGCTTTAGCTTTAGCTTTAGCTTTAGCTTAGCTTTAGCTTAGCTTTAGCTTAGCGTTAGCTTAGCGTTAGCTTAGCTTTAGCTTAGCTTTAGCTTAGCTTTAGCTTAGCTTTAGCTTAGCTTTAGCTTAGCTTTAGCTTAGCATCAGCTGAGCGTTAGCTTAGATTTACCTTGACTTTACCTTAGATTTAGCTTAACTTTATATTAGCTCTAGCTTAGCTTTAGCTTAGCTTCTCCTTAGCGTTAGCTTAGCTTTATCTCAGCTTTAGCTTAGCTTTAGCGTAGCTCCATCTTAGCTTTAGCTTAGCTTTAGCTTAGCTTTATCATAGCGTTATCTTAGTTCTAGCTTAGCTTTAGCTTAGCTTTAGCTTAACTTCAGCTGAGCTTTAGCTTAGCTCATCTTAGCTCTATATCAGTGTTAGTCATACTTAGCTTATATGTAGCTTAGCTTTCGCTTAGCTTTAGCTTAGCTTTAGCTTAGCTTCAGCTTAGCTTTAGTTTAGCTTTAACGTGGCTTTAGCTAAGCTTTAGCTTAGCTTTAGCTTAGTTTCAGCTTAGCTTTAGCTTAGCTTTACCTTGGTGTTAGCTAAGCTTTAGCTTAGCTGTAGCGTAACTTTAGCTTAGCTTTAGCTTAGCTTTAGCTTAGCTTTACTGTTACTACTAATGCTGCTTTCCTAGGGGCTCCAACTCCTAGGTAGGGTCGCACTGGGATAATGTTTCGAATGTTTTTTTTACGGGGGGTCGGGGCGGGACCCGGGGCGGCTGCCGCCAAAGCCCAAATCGCTTGGGACATCCTCGCAAAATCGCTCTTGGCGCTGCTAGAACTCCGTTCCCGGCGTACATTTTGGATGCCCGGAGCCAACTGTAGGCCACTTCGTGGTCTTCGAGTTCCCAGAACTCCATTCCCGGCGTACATTTTGGATGCCCGGAGCCAACTGTAGGCCACTTCGTGGTCTTCGAGTTCCCAGAACTCCATTCCCGGGCCACATTTTGGATGCCCGGAGCCAACTGTAGGCCACTTCGTGGTCTTCGAGTTCCCAGAACTCCATTCCCGGGCCACATTTTGGATGCCCGGAGCCAACTGTAGGCCACTTCGTGCTCTTGGACTTCCCAGAACTCCATTCCTGGGCATGATTTTGAATGCCCGGAGCAAACTGTAGGCCACTTCGTGTTCTTCGAGTTCCCAGAATTCCATTCCCTGGCCACATTTTGAATGCTGAGGCAGGCTGAGGCTGAGGCTGAGGCAGGCTGAGGCTGAGGCAGGCTGAGGCTGAGGCCGAGGCTGAAGGCAGACTGAGGCTGAGGCTGAAGCAGGGCTGAGGCTGAGGCAGGCTGAGGCTGAGGCTGAGGCAGGCTGATGCTGAGGCTGAGGCTGAGGCTGAGGCTGCAGGCTGAGGCTGAGGCAGGCTGAGGCTGAGGCTGAGGCTGAGGCTGAAGCAGGCCGAGGCTGAGGCTGAGGCTGAGGCAGGCTGAGGCTGAGGCTGATGCAGGCTGAGGCTGAGGCAGGCCTGAGGCCGAGGCTGAAGGCAGACTGAGGCTGAGGCTGGCAGGCTGAGGCTGAGGCAGGCTGAGGCTGAGGCTGATGCAGGCTGAGGCAGAGGCAGGCTGAGCTGAAGCCGAGGCTGAAGGCAGGCTGAGGCTGAGGCAGAGGCAGGCTGAGGCTGAGGCAGGCTGATGCTGAGGCAGGCTGAGGCTGAGGCTGAGGCTGATGCAGGCTGAGGCTGAGGCAGCTGAGGCTGAGGCCGAGGCTGAAGGCAGACTGAGGCTGAGGCTGAAGCAGGCTGAGGCTGAGGCTGAGGCAGGCTGAGGCTGAGGCTGAGGCAGGCTGATGCTGAGGCAGGCTGAGGCTGAGGCTGAGGCTGAGGCTGAGGCTGAGGCTGAGGCCGAGGCTGAAGGCAGACTGATGCTGAGGCTGAAGCAGGCTGAGGCTGAGGCTGAGGCTGAGGCTGATGCAGGCCACTGCGACTGTCATCGCGAATGCGACTACGACTGCGAGAACAGCAGAACTCTACAACTGGATTATCATCTGAATCTTAAGGGGGATGCTTCCAGATATGCTCCTACACATCTCTGTTAGGTTGCTTTGCTGGGATAATTCTAAGGTTTACGCCTCCAGCACTTCAGTTTCTTTATTCCCAACCATCCTGTGGTGTTGGGTCCTCGTTTTGAAGAGACGGTGCCCCGCGTTCCTCCTCTCCTCTCTCCCCC